CAAACACCTTTAGCAAGGGCTAATTAGAAATCAAGCTCGGAAAAGAGTGCTAACCCCCAAAAACCTAGCAGCTTTATCTGGCAGTCCTGAGTTAAGAGGCTATGTGAGGGGGTTGAGGGTCAAGGTGCTTCCTGAGCTATGTGAACCAGACCAGTCTGGGGCTGGATTTCATGATCTCAAGATGAAGAATCTGTGCTCCGGATACACATCAGTTCCTCTCTATTTGCTTTTCCTTTTTTGGATTTTGTGTTTCTTTTAGCTTCCTGAAGCTCTTTGGAAAGCATTTCAATCCTATTCGTCAGTCTTAAGGGGAATGGGAAAATGTACACACTTAGGTCAAAGTGGTAAGAAAGGTCAGAGAGCCTAGGCTTGGAGGAGCAGCAGCTAGCTCTTTAGAATCCAGGGCAGCCACTGAGCCAGGGGACAGAGCAAGAGAAGGAAGCAAAACTTGTTGGGTGTGGGCTGCCCGGGGTGGGGAGGATGCCAGAAGGAGGGAGGGTAGGTAGTATGTGTGTGGGTCAGGGTAGGGCATGAAATCACAAACTTAGAGGCCTTCTGGAGGAAGCAAGTAATCAGTGAGGGGCATGGGCTGTGTCTAAGGGAGTGAGGGAGACAACTATGGCATTCGTGGCCAAAATTTAAAATTCTGTGCCAATCAAACCACTCACCAAAAAACCAAAACCCAAACTCACTGCCACTGAGTCAATTCCAACACACAGTGACCGTCACTGGGTTTCCAAGGCTGTAAATCTTTATAGAAGCAGACTGCCCAATCTTTCTTCCATAGAGTGGCTAGTGGGTTCAAACCACTGACCCGGTTAGCAGTGAAATACCTTAACAACTACACCATTAGAGCTCCTTAAACCATTTGTGTCTGGGCTGAATCTGGCCTAGTTTGTACACACCTTCTGTGAGGGGATCAGGGTGTCTGAAAAAAAACAAAAAAAAACCTGTTATTCCTTTCTTGCCTGTTTCCTCCATAAACTCCTTCTTTGTGTTTTTTAAAAATTATGATTATTATCAAGGGCATGTTCCCTTACAGGAGAGTAGATGTGCCCCCAGAGAATGGCACTGAGTTGGAACAAGAGTCTCAGTATTGGCTATTTGGAAAGTGTAGCTGGTTGTGATTAGGGACAGCAGGTTTGAGCTCCTTCAGGAGGAAGGACAGCTCAGTCTCTCTTTGCCCCAGTTCTCACCTGATGCTTTAGACAGAAGTACAAAAGGTAGTGGAAGCTACCAATGTACACTGATGGACAGCTCCACGCAGTCCCCTTCTTCTTGACTTCCTGCACAAAACCAGACAAACAGGGCCCAGGACTCTGATCAGACTCTTTTTATTGTCTTTTTTACAAGTGGGCCTTAGATATAAAGTGATGGAAAGGAAGGAAGAGCTGTACTCTGTGGCGTCTAAACAAGCTCCTTAGAGACCCCAAGAGCCCCATGTGTCATTGCCGGGAGGGAAAGAGGGATCCATCCCTACTCCTCTTGGCTCACACCCTTGTTTACCAAGGTGAAGGGCTCCCTTACAGGCCCCTGGCCCAAGGATAACCCCTTCCCCATGGAACTCCGCATATTCTCATTGCCTGATCAAGGGTCATCTTGGTTCCTAGAGAGAGAGAAAAGAAGAAAAGAGAGACTTATGACCAAGCCCTGACCCAGGGCAAAAAGGCTACAGGAGAGGACACGTCTCTTTTCTCATCATCTTTTCTCCGGGCCAGTTCTTCTGTGGAGAGCCCAGTACCCTTGTACAAGTTACCAACTCACAGCAACCCCATGTGTATCACAACAGAACTGTATTCCATAGGGTTGTCTTTCTTTCTTTCTCCTTTTAAATTGTGTCGATTTTGTTGTTGTTGATAGGAATATACACAGCAAAACATACACCAGTTCAGCAGTTTCTACCCCTATAATTTAGTGACATTGATTGCATTCTTTGAGCTCTGCAACCATTTTTACTCTCCATTTCCGAGATGTTCCTCCCTCAACAACATAAATTCACTGCTCCCTAAAATTTCTATCTATTCTTTTGAGTTCTGTTGTCACTTTAATCCAATACAGATAATTCTTAAAAGAGCATAATGCACAAGGCAGACATTTTTTACTAGTTAAGCTAAACTATTTGGTTTTAAGAAGACTTCAGGGGATATTTTTGATTTGATGCTTAAGGACTATCTCAGGACAAAAGTTTCAGGGGTTCATCCAACTTCCATGGCTCCAAGAAGTCTGGAGTCCATGAGAACTTGAAATTCTGTCCTGCATTTTTCCCCTTTTGATCAGAATACTTCTATAGATTCTTTGACTGAAATATTCAGTAATAATAGCTGGGCACCAATCAGTTCTTCTGAACTCATGGCAAAAGAGGCAGTTCATGGAAGCAATTAGTCACACATTCCATATCCTCTTTTTATTCCTGACTCTCCTTTTTCCTCTGCTGCTCCAGGCGAATAGAGACCAATTGATGGTCGCTTGCCAGCTTTTAAGACCCCAGACTCTACCCAATGAACTAGGAGATAGAACAGAAGCATGAAACCTGTTATTAGGGCAATTTACTGGGATATCCCATGAAACCATGACCCTCTCTATACGGTTTTCAGTAACTGATTTTTCAGAAGTAGATCACCAGCCCTTTCTTCCCAGGAGTCTCTGGGTGCATTTGAACCTCCAACTTTTCAGTTAGCAGCTAAGCACATTAATTGTTTCTACTACCCAGGCACCGGAGTGGAAGGGGGACGTCCAGAATCCTCTATTATGTGCCTTTTTGCCCTCTTCAGGAGTGTCTTCACTCTCAATCACTAGGTCCCCTCCTTTGGATACTTCCTTTGCAAGCTCCTTTCTTCCTTTCTATTTTCAGTTATGCCTTGGTCCACATTCCCTAGCCCTCTACTCTCATTTATCTGTGAACCTCCGCCCCTCCCCCCACATTTTTAAAATTTTTATTGTGATTTGGGTGAAAGTTTACAGAGCAAATTCATTTTCTATACAGAAGTTCATATACCTTTTTTTTCATGACATTGAATTCCCCACAATGTAACAGCTCTCTTCCCACTTTCTCCCTCTTCCCTGAGTCCCTCTTTCCTATGCATTCCTGCCCCCCTGAGCTATCTTCCTTTGTAAATACTGTCCTTCTGGTCTCCCATGAGTGATCACTCTCAGAAATGCATCTACTTGATGTAAATGTTCACTCTATATGCCTGTCTACTGTTTGGCTGGAAGCCACGTAAATGAGTTCAATTCCAGACTGAAGGTTAACTAGGGGCCATAGTCTCAGGAGTCTCATTTAGCCCCCACCTCTTGACGCTTGTGTCCTGGCCTTTGGCTCTGACTCCGACTCCGGCTCCGGCTCCGTCCAGGGCCCCGGGAACCCCGAGAGCTGCTGGAGCCTCGTGAAGAGTTGCTGCCAGCTGTGGAACAGGTGCTGGTGCCCTGGCCCCTGGACAGGAAGCTTGGTCTGCTGTATGGGGGCCAGGACTCTTCTGCTGCACAAGAGAGAAGAGCTGGGCTCAGACAAAGAGCAGAACATCAATGCTCCCCCACTTTCCCACCCTGGCTACAACCTCGGCTCTGGGAGAAGAGTTTGGGGGCAGACACATCCCAGACACTTGGGAGAAACAGAGTGCCAGCAAACAGTCTTGAATAAGAGGTGCTCAAAAATGTGTAGGCAATTCCCAAGCAGAGAGATCCTTGGAGAAGGAGGGACAGAACAGCCAGATCCCATTCTTCTCACATCTGGGCTTCTAGTCCTGGAAAAGGACACACCTGGGGACTTCAGAGATTTTACTCAGAGGCAGCCAGAGATGAGTGAGCCTTTGATGTTGATCAAATGTAGGAACATGACCAAAGGGGTGAGCTGGATTGAAAATCCATCAATGGCACAGTCTGTATACCACCAGCCTTTAGTCCCAAAGCCCAGCTTCTTGAACAGCAGCTGGCCTTCCCACTGCCCTGCCCTCTTACCACCTGGGTGAGGGCACTGCTGGGCACCCAGGGGCACCATCTGCACCGCTCTCCTTTCTCCACTGTGTTCCCGCTCCAATGAGGAGATGCTGTCTGCTGTTCTCAGCCCTAAGGCCCAGTTGGTCTCTTCCTTTGGTGGTGGCAAGGGTGGTGGGGGCAAGTCTAAAGAGAGACTTGTCTTCAGCAGAGTCTCCTGCTTCTCCTGATACTAATCTTTTTCCCACCCATACCCCTGGCACCAAGAGACTATAAATGACAGTCCAAGATTTGGCTCACCTGCCCCCTTCCTTCAGCCCCCAGAGCTCACTCTTGGTTTTCTGCCTGTCTCCCTATTGACTGTCACCATTTCCCCAACCTCACCCCCAGGACTATGTTCCCGCCTATAGGGAAGAGCCTTGGGTTTCTTCCGGAATCGGGCCCGGGGTCCTTGAAGTGGAGGAGTTCTCCCTGCAGCATTAGGGGATGGAGAAAGAAGCAGGTAAGGAAGAGGACCAAGAAAGGAACCTGAGGGTGAAAGAGATGCAACCTTGGAAGATGAAAATTCCAAGGCAAGGGGTACAGGGAAATAGGAGTGGGAGTTGAGGGTCCTATGAACTCACCTGGGGCACTGCTGGCTGCACTAGGGACAGGGCTGAGGTGATGGGAGGCTGCAGGGCCAGCACCCAGGCCAACACGTCCTCCTTCATGGCTACTCAGAGTGGGCTGGGATGCACTGAGAGGAGAACTTTGCCCAAGGGCCACCTTCCTGCAATGACATGAGGCCTGTGCATTTGTTCACTTGACAAACACTAAGTGCCTACTATGTACCAAATATTATGCTAGACACTCAGTCTAATACTCAGATAAACAAGACACAGCCTCTCTCTGGCAAGAGCTCCCAAGCTAGTGAAGCATGGGGAGTACTATATTGTTGAAATGTCCCAGGAAGTTTGCAGAGTCACTCCAACAGAGAGACAGTGAGAGACCCTGTCAGCCCCCACTTTCCTCCTCAAATCTCACTTCCACCCTGATCAGCCCTGAGACCTCTGTTCCCCAGAGCCATCTACCCATCCATCCATCTGTTCATCCACCCATCCAATCATCCACTGACTATGTACTGAGTATTTATAATGTGCAAAGTACTTTATACCTCCCTACCTGGGCATCTGATGGAGACAGGGAATGTCAGTGGGTGGCTGAGGAGGGTCAGGAGGTGAGGGGGTAAGAGTGGCTGTAGATTGCTGTCCATAGGAGGGAGTGGGAGAGGGGGTTTCCCCTCTGGATGAGGCAACCAGACACCCTCCACTTGAACTGGGCTTGGCCAAGTGGCCAAGTGGCATTGATGGGCACCAATCTTCTACCTCTGAGCTGGAGGCAAAAAGGAGGAAAGTAGGAGTGGAAAAGGTAGAGGGGAGAGCAGGTCCCATGTGTGTAGGACATCTGCAGGGTATAGCAAGCTTACCTGCCCTCCAGCTCCTCCTCAGGTCCCTCTAAGCAGTTCAGTTCACAAGAAGGGGGAGGTGGTGGCAGAGCTTCTGGCCAGTTTAGAGAAGGCATTTGCACAGGTTTCCCCAGAAGCTTCACTTTGCCTCCCCTGGCTCCTGAGGAAAGTAAGATGGAGGCACACAGAGATATACAAAGGAAAGATCCAGGGATGGGGTCACAAGTCAAGAGAAAGTGCTGGGTGGATGAGGGAGTTTTGGGGCTATTCTGGACAGGACTAAAGTGGGGGTGTTAGGGATTAGAGTCATACCATTGTCCCCCTGGCTCCATTCTGGAGGAGCATACTGGCTCCAGGTGCCTGGATCCCCTGGAGGCTGTTGGGGAAAGCCCCCATGGAAGGTCCGCAGCTCCTCCCCAGCTGGGTCAATGGTGCTGTAGACAGGGCCCTCACCAGGAGCAGCAGGGCCTCGGGCTGTCTGAGCCAGGTAGAGGGAGATCCCTGCTTCTGCAGAGCAGGAAGGAGGCCCAGGAGAAGAGACAGAGACCAGAGGTAGAAAACAAGTGATAACAGAAGAATGGAGGGCAAAAGGAGGTCCCAATGGATTAATTTCTTCCCTCATCCCAAACCTTATGGCCCAAACCAAGGTATTCAGACAGGTTAGGTCTGAGAGAGGCTCCCCAGACTCACGTCCTGACCAACCTCAGAAAGACTGAGACTCCTCGGCTCCCTTCAGTAGGTTGAGAGGAGAGAAAGGTGCTGGGGGCCAGGGTGCTTCTGAGGGAATTAAAACTCCTCACCATTGTAATATCTGTCATCTGGGTCAGGATTGCTGGGACAGCAGCTTCCCCTGGGTTCCTGGGCTGAGGGGCTTCGAGATGGGTGGGGCCACGAGTCTGCCAGCCATGGGTAGGGGGCAGGGCCAAGGCTCATGGGTGGCCTGAGGGAGAGCATGTGAACTTTGGGGATGGAGAGCTTGACAATACCAGCAAAGTCGCAGGGCGGTACTATAGTGTTTGGGGTGGGACGTGAGATATGGTTGGCATGGGACAGGCAGTGAGGCCTGAAGAGAAAGGAAAGTGGTCACTTCGTTGAGGTTAAGGCAATTACCTGGAACTGGCTCCAGAGAGGCCCTCTGAGTGTGGGAAGGACACTGGGGAAGATGAGTAGGCCAGATGAGAAAAGAGCCCATACTTTTTGGGTCTTATCCCCACTGGGAAGAGACAGCTTACCTGCAGGAGTATAGGCAAAGGAAGCTTCCGAAAAGGAACATGTGGAAAAAAGAGGAGGAGAAGTGGGAGAAGGGTCAGAAATACCCATATTCTTGTCCACCTCTCAGCCCTGGTCCCATTCCACTACTCAGGCTGCACCTTGACCAGCTTCATCAGAATTTCTGGGACTGGGACTCAGGTGTAAGTATTTTTCTAAAGCTGATTCCTATGTATATGTAGCCAGTGTTGAGAACCACTGAACTAAGAAACCTCAGAATCTCTCCTGAGATGCAGTGTTCAGGTACCCTCCTTCAGTAGACCCCGCCCTTCCACTCAGACCCCACGAGACAATTTACAGCTCCGGCTCTGAGTCCCTGGCCACCTCTCCTACAGCCAGGCCCGCCCCTTCCGGATGTGACTTAAACTGGGAGTTCCCCCTCCAGACTTTTCCTTTCTTTACTGGGGCTGAGCTGTAAAAGCTGCTCACCTACGGAGGCGCTTTAGGGGCAAATCTTATTCCTCTCTGGAGGCCCAGGTCTCGCCCTCCTCAAGTGGTGCTGAGCTCTTGTCCCCGCCCCCTTCGAGACCCCGCCCTTTTTCCCGGTCCGGAGGGCGTCCAGGTCTACTCTGCGGCCCCACCCCACCCCATTAGAGCCGTGCTTCTGGTGCAATCCTTCACTCTTGTGCGCCCCACCAGCACTGCCTCTCTCCCAGGACAAAGGGATCGTGTGGCTGGTCCTCTTCTAGTCCCTTCCCTCCCTCCCTAGGTGCGGCTCTCACCAGTATAGTGGCTGAGCTCCTTACGCTGTTTCTGGCGCCGGTAGAGGGCGGCGCAGAGCCCAAGGAGCAGCGCCCCACAGGCGGCGCCGCTGCCCGCGAGGAAGGCCGGCTTCCGTAGCACCCTAGCAAGCCGCTCCGCCAGCCCCCAGCCCACCTCGAGCCCAGGCTCCAATTCCGGCGGAGGCGCTGTGAGGGTCAGAGAGGTGAGGGGAGGCGGGACCTGGAAACCTAGGAGCTGGGAAGGGGCTGTCCCTGACACCGCAGGTACAGCTACCCCAGGAGCCCTCCTCGGCTCCCGCCCGGCTCTCCCACCTCCCACCTACGGACTCACGTAGCTGCACCAACACCGGGGCACTGGCCACACCGACGCCAGCGCTAGTAGCTGCCGCGACCTGGGTCCGGTACAGGAGACCCGGCAGCAGTCCCTGGAGCACAGCGGAGCGTGCCCAGCCTGCCACAGACCGGTTGAGGTGGAGGCGACTCTCATTGCCCAGGCACCAGATCTAGGGTGTCGGAGAAACGGGTTTAGAGAGTCAGAAATGGGATTCTAGCCCCACAAGAAAACTTGAGGCTCAGAATGTTGGAGGGGTCTTGTTAGGTGCCGTGGAATCAAACTTACAGTGACCCCATGTACCGAGTAGAACTGCCCCATAGAATTTTCTTAGCTGTAATCTTTACAAAAGCAGATCTCCCCAGAAGAGGCTGAGAGAATTCCATCAAGTGCTTAACCCTTGCGCCATTACAGGGCTTACCTGCCCCCGCCCAACTCCTCCCCCCCCAAAAAAACATTGCTGTCTGACCATTCTGACTCATAGTGACCCCACAGGACAGAGTAGAACTGCCCCATAGAGTTTCCAAGGCTGTAATATTTACAGAGCCTGCCACATCTTTCTCCCCCAGAGTGAAACGCTGGACCTTTTCATTAGCAGTTAAGCACAGGGCCACCACAGCTCCTCACAGGGGCCTTAGGTACGCATAATTCAGTCTGGAGACAACACTATGAAACCTCTCTTCTCTCTCCAACCTCAAACCTAGATCCAAAACGACCCCTAAGTTCCCTTCCCGCTAATCCTAGCCCCTGGGTCCTTTCTCTCCCTGCCTTCCCGGGCCCTTCCATCCAGTCCCTTCTCAAACCCTGTAACTATCAGCAGGGACAGAGACAGGACTGAGTGTGTTGTGTCCTTCTCAAACTCTGTACCTGGTATTCCTTGATGATTCCGTTTTGCTGAGAGAAGGGTGGAGGTTCCCAGGACACAGTGATACTGCTGTTGCCATCACCCCCCAAGGTTACTGTCACTCCCTGGGGGGGACCACTGGGAGCTAGGCCAGGGTGGAGCATGATGAGAAGGACATAGACATTGCAAGCTGCCCCCTCATGCCCCCATCCCCCTTCCTGTTTTAACATCTTAGGGACTTGAGAGGCACCCATTCATATGCTCTCCTCCTGGATCCTTTCATCCTCCCCCACTCTCTCTTCCCTCTTGTCTATTTGTCAGCTCTGTGGCCTTCCTTACCCTCCTCAGGAGTACGCCTGGTCACAAAGGGACTTTCAGCCCCCAGCCCCTCTTGGCCTTGGGCTTGCACCTTGATTTGGATTTGGGCCCCTGGTGGGAGTCCTCTTAGCACAGCACTTTGCTGGTTTGAGGACTCTAGGTCTAGCACTGTCCAGCTTCCCTCATCAGGGCCTGCAATCCTCCAAGATACCCGGAACCCTTGCACCAGCTGGACTGGGCCATCCATCTGCAATTGACAGAACAAAGCATACAAGAAAGGGAGGCCGAGGCACACAAATCCTTCAGGCCTACCCCCTCTTCTATTTATCTTGCCTTGTCCAGACACTTACCTCCCACTCTCCCACACTCATTCTCAGAGGCTCCCATATCCCACATCATTATCCCTGGCCCCAATCTCATCCCTATGCCACACTTACAGTCCAGGAAACCTGCAGGGTCCGGGGCCCAAGGACTATGGGCTCCTGCATTTGCACAGTCACTTCAGTCAGGCCCTGCTGGCCTCTCCATGGGTCCTCCATTGGCCTGGAAGGGTTGCTGTCTGTTGACCAAAGAGCCCATTCAGCAGGGGTCAGCAAGGACAGAGAGACAGGACTGAGTGTGTTGTGTCCTAACTCTGCGCTGTGCCACAGACTGTACTACTTAGTACCCTAGGGTCAGTAAGTGGTTGGTCGAAAGAGTAGCTAGCTTTCAGGGGTGAGCCTAGCATCCACATAATATGAATGTTCTCTCTGCATAACTACATATGCACTCTTTCCAGGCCTCAGTTCCTTATCCCTAACATGAAAGTGACCCCTCTGTGGTCTCTTCTAGTTTTAATAACCTACATGAATCCTATTGCCATCAAGTCAACTCCGACTCATAACGACTCCCGACTCCCCTTAGATTTTCAAGTCTGTAAATCTTTACAGATGTAGATTGCTTCATCCTCCCACAGAGCAGCTGGTGGGTTTGCTAACCTTCTGGTTAGGAGCCAAACTCCTTACCTACTACATCACCAGAGCTCCTTTAATAGTCTACATTAGCTATCTGTAAAAGGCACAGAAGTGAGAAACCACCAAAGATGAGTCCATCTCTCTCTCTATCTGCCCCCTCACCACCTCTCTGAGAGGGAAGCATGGCCTTCCAGATCAGACCACCAGTATAGACCTGCCATAGCAAGAAACAAATATTTCAGCTACCATGGTGCCATGGATTTGCAGTGGGGTGAGGGCTCTGATCTTACTCACCCTGGGTGCGGACAGGCTCAGAGACAGGGCTGGGCTCACTGAGGCCCCAGGTCCCCACTGCTCGAACCAGGAACAAGTAGATAGTATTGGGCTGCAGACCACTGACTGTGTGAGTTTCTAGCTGCACACCATCTGCCACTGTCCGCCACGTATTGCCAGCTGCTTGGCTGCAATGTTAATGAGGTGCCAGAGTTGTCTGAGCCAGGTACTCCCAACCTGTCTGCTTCATCTCACCCATTGTCTTTGATCCCTTAGCTAATTCTCACCGTGGGAGAGAGAACTGGTGAACTCCTCCCCACAATAGCAAAGACCTTGAGGACATAGGGTCCCCTCCCTTTAGTTTTCCCAGGTTTGCATTCAAACTTCCTCCTTACCTGAAAGCCTCTATCACATAAGAGGTAACTGTGGCCCCAGCCTGGGGGTTGGGCTTCCAGGTTAGGGTGATGCTGTTTTTAGTGATCTCAGTGACCACTGGCTGAGAGGGAGGCCCTGGAGGAGTACTGGGTTCAACAGGGGGTTCTGATGACACTCTCCAATCTTCTGCAATGAGGAGAGAATCTTTGAGTAGAAGAATGGGAGAAGGGTGCCCTAGTGTAAACTGCCTCCTTCCCAGAGAAGCTGTGGAGCTGTGACAGTGGTCATGATGGAGAAGAAGTCATAGTATATTAACCCCTACTCACATCTGCCTCCCAGGGGACCATTGCTGTCTTTCTCATCCCCACCACCATGAAATGGCATTTGGAATATAAAATAAGTCCTTGAGTCTTGGAAGATAATGACTACCCTTGAAGAAGATTTGGAAAAATGTGCTGGCAAAACAAAGGAATAGAGAAAAAACTCACCCTGTTTCCTAAGCCAGGCACTCCATGTGGCCTCACCTGTGGAACTCTTGGCCACACAGCTGTAGAAACCCATGTCTGTCTCCTGTAGAAGGATAAAGAGTACTGCCAAATGCAATGGAAATAGAGCAAGAGAGGGCAAGGAGGTAGAGGCAGGTGTGCAGAAGGATGAGGAGGATGCTGTATATTTTCTTCAAAGAAGGTAGAATGATAGAGGGGGGTGGTCTGAGAAAGCAGAGGGATAGAAATGGAATGAGAGTCCCAGTGGGTGCTCACTGGAGTTGGGAAGGTGAACCAGGTGGCATTCTTAGTTTCTCTGGACCCAGTGGAGAGCCTCACCTGCATGTTGCTAATGTACAGGGTACCATTAGCCATTAGGCTGAGCTGAAAGTCATCCCCCAGCAGCCACTGCCCATTCTTCTTCCATCGGACACTGGGTTGAGGGTTCCCTGTTACTCTGCATGGCAGCCACACAGAGGAGCCTAGTGCCAGCGTCTGATTGGTTGGTCCCTGGAGGATGATGGGAGGCATCCCATCCAAGGATGCTGAGAAAAGAAGTTGGGCAGCTCAGGAAGGATTCTTGATACAGGCAACCAGCCCCTTGGTCCTCATTCTCTGTTCCTTCATCCCTCAGAGATCAGAGAGGACTTCAATTATCATCTATAGGCTCTGCCTAGAACCAGCCATTTGTTAGTGGCTTTTGCTTAAAGGACATGCCTTAAGAACATACTCTTCCTCTTGCAGACATATAGTATAAAATCCAAGAGAAACCGGTGTCTTTAAGCTATTATTACCCTTGAGAACCATGAGTTCAGTCCTAAGCCCATAGACACATACCTTCTTTTATCTCCAACAGAGCCTTGGCCAGAATGCTGCCAGCCACACTGACAGCCTGGCACACATAGTAGCCAGCATCCCCACTCTGTACTTCAGTGATGTTGAGCTGTCCTCTTGGAGAGACCAAGAAGCGCCCTGTGGGCTGAAGCGACTGACTGGGGAACAGTAGAACCTGGAGACAAGGAACCAAGAAGAAAACCAGCAGGCAGCTGGAAAGAGTGAGAGCTTCCCATTCCCATCAACCCCAGAATCTAGAGAATTCCTAAGGTTCTACTTTATACTCTGTCCCCAGCCAGCTATGTGACCTTGGACAAACCAGTTAAACTTATTTAAAAAATGAGGGAATTTGACTAGATGATTTTGAGTTCCAATTCCTCTGTGACTGTGGGAAACTCTAAACAAGCTGTTTAACTTTCCTGAGCTCCAGTCTGTCCAAATATGGCTCTTAGAGGATAGTTACAAAGATTAAATGAAGTGATCATATGAAAATCTTCTAGCACACTGTGTGACAATGTCAGATTCTTTCTCCTTTCTGGCTTTAACATTTTGCATTAGATGGATACATGGAAGATAGAGAAACAGGTTAGGATCTCAGGACCTGCTCTCATCCCCTACCACCATCATCAATTTTTTTATTCATGTGAAAATCTAATTAAAATGCAGCAATCCCAGGTTCTAGAGATGTTGGGAAAGTGTAGCTGTGGATTTAAAATGAGATGATGATTTGTCAAGGAGCTCTAGTGGCACTGTGGTTAAAGCATTGGGCTACTAACAAAAAGGTCAGTGATTCGAACCCACCAGTTGCTTCATGGGAGAAAGATGAGGCAGTCTGCTTCCGAAAAGATTTACAGCCTTGGAAACCCTATGCGGCAGTTCTACTGTGGCCTATAGGATCACTATGAATTGAGATGGACTTGATGACAGTGGGTGATGGTGGTAATGGTTTGCCTGTCTTCCTAGTGAAATGGGGGTTAATCATACTTACTATATCATATTGCCTTTGTTTCCTAGGAGTAAAAATTCCACCCTTTCCTTACAGGCAGTTACTTATGTTATAACTTAAGTTAATGTTCATTCTGGTAGTGTGTTCTAGAATTTGTTTGCTGAAGTTGAAGAGGGATGACTGCAGGAGGTAGAGCTCCCCCTGGTTGAATTCCTTGTCAGCTATTAAGTAGAAGAGCAAGTCATGTTCTACCCACAGACATTCTAGGTACAGTACTGAGTGATATGTTAAACCCAAAAACCTAAACCCAAGGGGTCATGGAGTGGGAAGATTTAATTGAATTTGCTACATACTTAGGACAGCCTGGCCCAAAATAAAAGATTCTTCAAGGAAGAACCATTTAGAACTTGTTCCCTACCATCTAAACGTATTATCATTTATAAAGAAAGTGCCCAATATATTCCAGGTCTTTAAAGTCATTGTTTTATATAATTCTCCCAAATAATTGGCAAGGTTTTCTGAGAGAGCCAAAGGAAAGAAAAAAGAAGCCCTAGAAAGGAGTCTACGTAATGTAGAAGGAGGGAGGCTAAGACCCAGAGGAAAAGCTGGTGAGAAGGGCCTTGGAGATGACCACCTACTTGACTCCCCTCCTTCTGCCAGAAGATGGCAGGTGGGGGGTTTCCTTTGGTCTCACACTGGAAAGCCACACTCTCTCCAGGAGCTGCCATCTGATCCTGAGGCTGGATCACCAGCTGAGGTGGGACTGGGAAGGGGAGGGGAGATAAAGGATAAGAGAGTCAGGGAGACTGAGGAAAGAGGAGAGAGAAGCCCAAGCTTGGGTTAAGTAGGAGCAGACATCCATCTCTTGCCCAAGCCTGTGTAGCTTTTTTTTTCCTCCTCTCCCTCCTTCTAGAAGACTCAGGTGACCCCTCCATATCCCCACTCTGTCATCCACCCTCCATTTTCCTCCATACTTATCCACCCTCCATCTTCCCTCCTATCTGCCCTGCTTCAGGCAGTCCCCTGTGGGACCCTCACCGTGAACGCTGAGGGAGCCAGATGCTTCAGCACGGCCCACGCTGTTCTCCGCCACACAGGTGTAAGTCCCCTCGTCTTCAGCACTCACCCGCCCAATCCAAAGGCTGTGGTCACTTCGGATCTCATACCTGCTCCACTCCCCACCCCCAGGCTGAGTTGGCCACAGCTACAGACCCCTTCTTTCCCCCAGGACATCAGGATCAGGGCACACAAAAACAAAGCAGAACTCAATAGGGACAGAAACTTATATATCCTTGGAGCCATAAATGGAAAGAGATGGGGACAGGATAAGATAGGGAGCATGGGCTCTGGGGAACTGGTTTCTCTTTACCCTCAAGTGAGAGGGTGTCTGAATCCCAGTTTCTAAAGCAGGGTAGGCTCTTGAGCTGATTGTCTCTCTTTACAGGCAGGAAGAGGGGGTTTCTCACCTGCCTGGGGGCAGTTCCCCATCCTCCTTGCGCCAACTCAGATGAGGAGGGGGATCCCCTTGTACTTCACATGGGAAATCCACAGGGGCATCAGCCAGGACCACCTGATTACCTGGTCTACGTAGGAATGAGGGGCGCTCTATGGAGTAGGAGTGAATGAAGAGTCAGGGGAGTCTATGCTGGTAAGTACTCCCTAGGCTACCCATATCCCACAAGTCAAAAAGTTCTCCATTCCTACCTAGCACCACAAGTTCAGCTGGCCCACTCTCCCGTTCTCCCGCCATATTGGAGGCCACACACACATACATCCCTGCATCACTCTTGAGTGTATGTGACATCATCAGCTTCCCTCCACGGATCTGCAGAGTAATCATGGTAACTTTGGTTCTTAACAACCATCAAAAGATTTGCTATGTATTATTTATTTGATCCCACAGCAAACCAATGAGGAAAACTAGTCAAGTTGACCCACTTATTAGATAAGGAATCTGCCAGGATCTTTTTTTTCCCACAGCCCAAACTGCCTCTCATCAATCACTGAGGCATCATGCTCCTCACCCATCTTATACCGATTCCATCCTACCCATCCTGACCCCTCACTCAATAGCTGATTCTTCAGTCGCTGGACAGGTGATGCCCCATCTCAAATCTCCAGCCTAATCACCTCCAAGCTGTTACTCCCAGCCTCTCCAAGATCCTTAGAGTCAGGCCTTCATTCTCTGTGACACTTCCTGGTCCTTCAAACCAAAAACCAAACCAAACCCATGTCTTCCAGTCGGATCCCACTCATAGTGACCCCTCCTTGGATTTCCAAGGAAGTAGATTGCCTGATCTTCCTTCCAAGGAGTGGCTGGTGGGTTTGAACTGCCAGCTTTCTGGTTAGCAGTCAAATGCCTTAGGTACTATGCTACCAGAGCTCCCCTCCTGGTCCTTAGCTTTCTGTAAAGATTTACAGCCTTGGAAACCCAACAGGACAGTTGTACTCTGTCCTTTACAATAGCTGTGAGTCAGAATCAACTCCACCCACATCCAGTCAGCCATGGCCCGGCCCCTTACGGTGATCCTTCCCTCCTCCTCCTTGATTTTTTCACTGTTCTTCTTCCAGGACACCGACGGTTCCGGGTGGCCACGAGGAGGGATGCATTCCAGTACTGCAGGCTCCCCCACTGCCACCACCAAGTTCCCAGGCGACTGCCGGAAATCATCTCGGAGGACTAGAGTGAGGGAGAGGGAAGGAGAGTATGGTGTAGGGGAGCTCTGGTGGCGAAAACGGTTAAGCGCTGGGCTGCTAAGCAAAGGTTGGTGGTTTGAACCTATCCAGCAACTCTGTGGGAGAAAGACCTACCAACCTGCTTCCTTAAAGATTACAACCAAGAAAATCCTGTGGAGCAGGTATACTCTATCACGTGGGGTGGCTATGAGTTGGAAATGATTGCATGGCACCTAAGAACAACAGGGCTGATATAACTGGATGAGAACACAGGGAAACTGGCTTGGGCAATGTTGGATCCCCGTAGACTGGAACTCTCCCCTAAGACCACCTCCTCCTCTGACGTGGGCGTGGGTAACAGAGCCCAAAGGTCCCAAAGGAGGATACTGAATGGACTGAGATTGGGACTTCTCTGAATCGGATTACCTTGTGTCCCATCGTCTCCCCAGGGTTCTGCAGCAACAAGCTCACGCCAGGATACTCACCTGCCACTTCCAGCGAGGCGTTTCTGCTAGCTGCTGCTCCCAGGTAGTTGCGCGCCACACAAGTGTAGACACCTTCATCTGGCCGTGCTCGGCGCCCGTGCATGATACGCGGGAAGAAAAGGGCACCACTGGGCAGCAGGAGGCGGTGCGCGCGCGGATCGTCGCGGGCAGTAGCCACGCGCGCCCCGTTCTTATACCACTCGATGTTGGGCCGGGGCCGGCCCTCGGCGCGGCAGGGCAGTGTGGCCGGTTCGCCTCGGGAGACCAGCAGGTCTGGAGGCTGCTCGACAATGCGCGGCATAGCATCTTCTGGCGCGATCCTTGACCCTAGAGAAACGGGGTTGAGGGTGGCACAAAGACTCAAACTGGGAAACTGGAGGAGTGATCGAGGCCCCAGAAAGAAAGAGAACTTTCTTGTCGTTGTGTCTCCTATGCTTCATCTGCTAGAATTCAGTTCTGCCTGAATTTCGCTAACCCCCTCCGTCTGTGGGCTCCAGTATGCTGTTACTGGCGGAAGTCCCACATTCTCAGACTTGAGCAGAGATGCCTGCAGACAGGTAGATCAGTAGAGAAATCAGGACACAAAGTCTTCCATAGGCTTTCTGGGCGGCCTAAAGACCCTTGCCTCCTCTCTGGTCAAGTTTAAGTGGGGAGTGACTGGGCCAAGTTTTGGTGGGTAGCCTGAACCTCTGCCAAAAAAAAAAAAAAAAAGTGTCCTTTTCTTCTGCGGATCTCAGTTCCGCGTCAGCGCGTGCTGTGGAAGACCAGCAAATCGTGTGGTTTTTCAGCTCCCACTAGTTGGTTCGCACATCGTCCTTGCACAGTGAACAACCATAAGCAGTGCACCTGATCCAGCACTCGGTTCCTCACCTGCGCACGTGAGATGGGAAATGCGGGCGAGTCTGAGGCGCATAAGAAAACCCGGGTGTTGGGGGGGGGGGCGCGGAGCAGGACACCTAGGTCGTTCTTAATATGGACTCCATGAATAAGCCTCAGGTGTGTGTATGTGTGTGAGGTAATCCCGTGAATTCAAAGTTATTGGATGCAAATAATACTGGGAATACGTGTAACGGACGTTCCTTTATCCTAAGAGGTGCGTGGTTTTTAGTAAATTATCCTACAGGGTGATGACCCAAGAAAGGTTAAGAAGCAGTGGAAAAGAGGGAGTCCCTTGTTCACTCTGATCATTTCGCCTGCGTATTCTGCCCCTCTTTCACACTGGAACTACAGACGCCTGCCCGCTTTGTCTTCCATTGCACAGCTTAAGAATCAGGACCTAGGTACCCTTTATGATCAAACATCCCCAGCTCCCAATTCTGCCATCAGAAGTGCATTTTGACCCGTAGGGACCAGTAGGTGGCGCTGTAGCCTCGCGTATTTTGGCGTTCTTAAATAATGACTTACACGCTCTGGTAGCATAGTGCCTATGGCACTTGACTGCTAACCAGAAGGCTGGTGGTTCAAACCCACCAGCCACTCCTCGGAAGGCAGGTTGGGCAATTTACTTCTGTAGTGATACCGTCTCGGAAACCCAAGGAGGGGTTCCTATGAGTGGGATCCGACTTGTTGGCACTGAGTTTGGGTTTTTTTGGTTTAGGCCTTTTGGAAGGAGCTCTGGTGGTGCACTGCCTAAGGCATTGAACTGCTAACCAGAAGGTTGAAGTTCAAACTCACCAGCCACTCTGCGGAAGGAAAACTGGGCAATCTACTTCAGTAAAGATTTACGCCCTCGGAAACCCAATGGGGGGGTTGCTATGAATCCGAATCAACTTGATGGCAGTGGGTTTGGTTTTGGTTAGGCATTTTGTTTCCGCGCCTCCTCTCACTCTCTCCTGCCCTGCTCCAAAATCGGCAAGGAACTCTTGATTCCAGTGTCGGTCTGGGATTGCTTTTATTTCCCGCCCCTCCTTTGGAAACTCTGATGGAGACAAAGTTGTACTGGTGGCCCTGTGCAGGTGCCCTTTTGGAGACAGTGTAATTGATTGGGATCAGGCTGGTTCGTTTCCCTTCATTTGGAGAAGGGAGTAATTTTCAAGACCTACTCACTTCCAAATAGAAATCTCTGTTCCTCACCCCTATCTTCTATAACATCTCAGTCCCAATTTAGGCAGACACCATGGTGGGCGATGTAGAGGTAGTTAAGAGCTTAGGTGTTGCTGTCCAACCAAGCAGGACTACAACCTCACACTTTCACCTTCCCCAGCTCTAAGAACATGGGCAAATTATTTAACTTCTCTGAGTCTCAGTTTCTCTACCTGGAATATGGGAGAATTAATAGGACTGTCATAAGGTTATATATATATATATATATATATATATATATATATATATAAAGCAGTGGGTAAAAAAAAATAATCAATTGGAACAGAGTGGATTTCAAGTCATGATACCTCATGTATGTCAAAATATAACTATGTTCTATCGGGTAAGAATCAGTGAATCACGGGTATTCTACGCCATTATTTATGGATTCTTTGTCCCCAACCCACATCTTATCCAGGATCCTACACTCTCTACCTGGCTCAGATTCTACCAGGCCCCAGTAGTCTTTTTCTTCCCTCTCACAGAAACCTTGGGTGCGATGGAAATAGATTTAGGTCTGTTATTGCCAACATTTTGCTTCCTGCTGGTTTTATGACCACTGGGGTATCATTCACTTTCTGAATTTGTTTCCTCAGTTGCAAAATGTGACCATTAATACCTTCCCTATGTACCTTCTAGGTTTTCAAGCTTGAGGGAGACAATCAATGTCTGATGAAGAAAACACTGTAAAGTCGCTAGGTAAGTAGAGGTGTCATTATCTGAGGTGTCTGTGCTAAATGCTGTGCTTAATCTTCTGGATATGTAGGAGGTCTCAAGATTGGAAAATCTTGTCTCATTATCCTCTTCTCCCTACTCCTTCCATACATGCCACACCCTTCTTCTGGTCTGCCCTCTCTCCCTAATTCCTGCAGATAACAGCTGCAAGCGTCCCGATCCTGGAATTTCTTTCCTGTCATTCCTGGTCTCAGGAGATACTTTGACATCAGCCTGATGAATAGCTAATGACCATGTTAATGAGGCTCTGGAGCTCCTCCCCCAGCACCTGGAGTGTCTCCTCTCAAACAAACACTCATGCACTCTGCCCAGGTCCGGTTTCTCGCTACCTTCCAGTGCAGGTGGAGGGTGGAGGGACGAAGGGAGGGTCACTTGAGGTAAACCACTGCGAAAGATGCCTGAGAGGGGTTCCCGACACGGCCAATAGGGACGCGAACGGGCTCCCCAGGCTCCCGGCGAACTGCTCTCGGGGGCTCCCCGCTGCGCTCGGGGAGAGCGGCTGTCTCAGTCATTTATTAATCATCGTAATTAGCGGCAACGACCTCGTCACCGGCACTGCCTTTCCACCACAGCCTTGCGAGCGTGGGCCGGGCGGGAGTCCCGCCGCAAACTTCTTAGTTTCTCTGACATGACCACAGCCCCTCCCCTTCGGTAGTAAACACACCCTACATTTGGGCTTCCTCACCCTTGTCCGAAATGAGTTCTTGGAAAACAATGGGTACCAGGTACCGAAGGAAGATGTGCTTCTTAGGTGGGTCACCGAACGGTCAGGCCGGGCTCACGCCCGCTGCCGACCGCTCGCCTCCTGTACCCTCCCTCCCCGGGCTCAGGCCCTGCTGAGCTCTGGGCTGCCGGTCACCAGCCCCAGCATTCCTCACCTGGGGTGCGTGTAGGGGCGGCTGGGGAGTTGGGACTTCTTGCACTCAGTGGCCGTATTATCCTAAACCCTCCACGTGGCGCCGGTGCTGAACCCCCAAACTGAAGCCCCCAGGTGCTAAAGCCCCAAACTGCACTTGGCTCCCGGTACCCCTGGCAGCGTAGAGAGAGGGGGCGTTCTGTCCTGGACCTTGGAGCACTCTCCAGCCTTCACCCCTCCCATCTCACACCAGCCGGGATCCGACGTCCCCAAGCCTGCAGGGTCTCACCGTTGAGAGAGGGGTCGCCGGGAGGCACCAGACTCTGGTTGAGCGCCGCCAGCGAGGAGTTGAAGCCCACGAGCAGCTCACTGGAGTTGGAGATGTCCCCGGCCAGGGAATCGGCGAATAAGTTCATCTGCAGCAGTGTTTTGAGCAGGTAGCGCAGCATGGCGCAAGTGAAGTGGGCTCGGGGCCCGGGGCTCGGGGCCCAGGCCCTGGGTCCGAGCCCCGCGGGCCGGGAGCCAGACGGCCCTCCACCGCCTCTGTGCGCTGCCTCAGCCACGATGCCGCTGTCCCGCCGGCTCGCGCGGGTCGGTCGGTGCCTCCGCATGCCCTCCGCCTCCTCTCGTCCTTCTCTCCACCCCCCCACCCGCCCGGCCCCCTGGGAGTTGGGCGGGCTGAAAGCAGGTGCCACGCCGATCACTGCGTAATTAAGGGATTAATCCGTCTCACTCAGCCCTCCCACCTCCACCCCGACGGCCACTCGCAGGGCAGGAGACTAGAGTCGCGTAGCGAGAGTTGGAGTCCCCGCCCTGTCCCCTGCGCTCCGCGTCCCGTTCCTGATGCACCAGGAAAGTTTCCCTCCTTTCTCGAAGCACCGAAGATGAGAGATGGGGTAGGCTCTGTTGGACTCCGCCTTCTACCTGACTTTAGAACAGGAACCGCTGCTCACTTCTCTCAGCCCTTAGGGAAACTGAGGCAAAGTACAAACACGCTCCTCTAGCTCTCAAAGGTGAGCCAGAGGTCCTGGCTTCCATTCCCTCCCAAGTGCTGGGGGTTTAGCAGCAGGAGTGACGGTAGTTGGGGTGGTCTGCAGCAGGAGTTGGGGTGGAAAGAACAGAATACCACACAAGGTCCACCCTCTTCGCCTCCGGGGATGGAGTAGTGCGTCCTGGATGGGAGAGCTGCTGCGGAAGCCCAGACCTAGGAGTTCCAGCAAGAGACTCAGAACCAGGATAAAACTGGAGGGGGAAAGCTTGGGGAAATCTTGGCAACTCGCATTTATTTGCATACCTCTTCTATTTATTTGCATACCTTTTGCATCACTCCACACTGACATGTTTTATTAAATTGTTTTACATTTTAAGGAGACTGAAGAGAAATCACGGACTCCTGGACAGAGACAAAGAGAGCAATATTGTTTCTGTGAATGCAAGTGCAAGGGAAGAGACCAGATTGATGCAAAACTCATGCAAATCTGGCTTGGAATCAGAAAGAAAGAAAAAAAAACCCACAGTGGGAGGGCTCAGCCTTCTTACTTTTCTGGAGTTCTTTCTACTTAAAGATCTTTCAGACCCTCACCCCACAAACTCACACACATTGCTTAGCTGAAGATGACATTGGGATGCTAGCGAAATAGAGTCCTGCCTTCCTATCTGGGGTAAGGACCCAGGAGGACCTTGCTGATAGGTGAGTGGAAGGATACTGGCTCAGCTGTGGGGTTCTATGAAATGAACAACCTGTGGTGGGGTAGCTATTTCTGAAGGAGGAAGAGGCAGGAACAGGTGGAGATCCAGAGAAGTGGGTGTTGCATAGTCTTGTAGACCTGAATAAGCAATCAAGAGCCCAGATAAGTAGAGTCAAGAATTGGAGTATTTCAGGTCCTCAAGTGAACCAGGGACATTGTCATGGAGTGAGGGACCTGTCCCAAAACTCCTCCTTCAATCCACAATCCTTGCAGTGGAACCTTTAAGTGCCTTCCTACCCCCTTGCCTCAGCTCTGTGTGGGGCTTTGGAAGGCCAGCCGCACAAAGGGGTGGGGATGGGGGTAGGGATAAGGCCTTGTGGGAAGCAAGGCCCTGGGTGCTGTTCTTTCAGCACCTGGTTGCCAGTGCTGGTCTGGGGCTTTGGTGATAAATTGGAGTAAATTGTGAGACACAGGCTGACTGGGGTAGGAGAGGGGCTAGCGATACATTCTTCCTAAAGTAAAAAGATACTAGAGATAGAATTTGCTTTAGGGCCAGGTTGCACTCAGGCAAGAGATGGTAAGGATATATTCCCTCACAAGAAGTCTAGCCCTTCAAGAATGACCAACCCAGAAAAGAAACCAAAACCAAACTCACTACTGTCCAGTTGGATCCAACTCATAGCGACCCCTCCTTGGGTTTCCAAGGCGGTATCCCCACGAAGGTAGATTGCCCAGTCTTCCTTCTGAGGAGTGGCTGGTGGGTTTAACCACCAGCCAGCCTTCTGGTTAGCAGTCAAATGCGTTAGGCACTACACCAGAGCTCCTCGACCAACCCAGAAGTAGGTTCCAATCCTGTGTTTGCCAATTACAAGATGCCACTGGTCTAACCTCAGTTATTCCATCTGTAAACAAGGAAATACACTGCTTGATCTGATCTGATCTTTCAGATTCCAGGTCCCAGAGACTTCTCCTCTGTCCCCTGCTGACCACCGTGACCTGGCTTCCATCCAACCAGAGTCCAACCAAGCCAGAAATCCTGCTTCCTGGCACCCAGCCCTGCTCGGGGGGAGGAGGGCTGCAGCATACAGGAAGCTGAGTCTCACCATGTGGATCCTGCCGGGTCCTAATCCCTTGATTTGCTCCCGGTCGGCCTCTCAGCAAACACAAGCCCCACTAGCGTCTAGGGGCTTGTCACCCTGTTAGCGGATTTGTTCCCAGAGACAGCGCAGTTAATTGGCCCTTTATGTAGGGATCAGGGCGTATTTGTTCTGGGTTCCCTCAGCGGAGGCGGCAGTTCAGCCCACGGGCAGGGCTACTTCCTAATCCCTGTCATCCCAGGTTTGGAGGCTGGACAAACAGCGGGACCAGTACCGCCCGCCCCCCTTTCCAAGACTACCTCAAGTGGAATCTACAGCCTTCTCACCCCTTCTCAGCGCTCTCTTCCGCCCCACTTCACTTCTTCATTTTGTTTCTCTCCGTTATTTCCCCTCTTTGTATTTCCCTGTATCTCTTAAGGTCTCTCTTTAAACTATCTCAGATATAATGCCAAAGAAGGGCAGGGGACAGAGAATAAATACTTTCCGGTGTTCAGGGAGCCCTGGACCTGGCAGAGGGTGGGAAGACGAGGCCCAGCAGCAGTCACACCTCCCTGATCTTCCACAGCCCTCTCCTTCTCTTCTTTGGGCAAGGTCAGATGGGCAGCCTGGAGAACTGGCCCTGAGTATTTCAAGTCCAGCTTCTCTCTGGAATGTTTCCACAGGTAGTTCTGGAAGGATTTTGCCTCCTCCTTTTCTCCTCCTTTTCCACTCCTCCCTCAATTACCAACAAAACTGTTTGGCTTCTACCCCTTATATGTCTCCATTTCCTAGCCTGTAAATTATATGTGTTTGTACAGTACCTAGGAAGCCCTGGTGATGCAGTGGTTAGGCACTCGGCTGTGAACCAAGAGGTCAATTCAAACCCACCAGCCAGTCTACGGGAGAAAGGTGGCAGTCTGCTTCTGTAAGAGTTATAGCCTTGGAAACTCTATAGGTCAGTTTTACTCTGTCCTTTAGGATCACTATCCATTGGATCAACTCAACAATAATGTGTTTGGTTTTGGGGCACAGAACCTAGAGCACTCTGGGAATGTGCACTGCAATAGAAAGGGCCTCCTGTGGAGATCCCTTTAGTTGATTTATAAGCTTCCAACTTAGGCTGAAGACAGAGTTGAGTTCAGGGCTCTTCTACTTCCTCAAGGGACTACTTCTTTTCTAGGGTGTTATCAATAATGCAGTCTACAGAAGCACTTTAGAAAGGGTAAGAAAGAGAAAAGGGGGTTTTGAAGGGAGGTGGCAGAAAAAAGAAATTATCAGGAGGAAGGGAAGATGGGAGAGTTGAATAGGTAGAAAAAGGGTAAATTTGCTCTAAATGGATTATCTATCAGGTGGGAAGAGGTGTGTGTGTGTGTGTGTGTGTGTGTGTGTGTGTGTGTGTGGAGAGAGAGAGAGAGAGAGAGAGAATAGTTACCCCAGGTCAATGTCCTTGGCTTAGTGCCAGCACTTAGGCTAGAGAATGTGGCTGGGAGTTTTCAGGGACTAAGTTGGGGGTGGGATGAGGAAGGAGCCCTGATGTTTAGTGGCTAAGAGACAGGCTGCTGATCTTAAGGTTATCAGTTCAACTGCAAGCCCACCAGTCATTCAGTGAGAGAAAGATGGGGCAGTCTGCTTCCATAAAGATTATAGCCTTGGAAATCCTATGGGGAACTTCTAGTCAGAATCAACTGTACAGCAGTAGTTGGTGTTTTTTTTTTTTTTTTTTTTTTTAAGTTGGGGGATGGGAATGGGAAGACTTCTTGGTGGTCCAAAGCCTGCATGCCAACTGGTAGAGGATGAAGCTGCTAGCACGTAATTATCCAAGTGGGCAGTCTGAGGACAATACCCCATCTCATACTGTTTACTGCCACTGCCTCCCCGCAACATGCACAGACACACCATCCAGTCCATTTACATCCCCCCAGAGTCCGCAGCCTCCAATCACTCTCTGTGCCTGGACCCCTTCCCAGGGCACTGATACACAGTGAGCATATGTGTGTGTGTGTGTGGGGGGGGGACATCTGCCCCCACCCCCACTAGCCTGTGCCTGTGAATGGCCCAGCAGGGTTGCTGGCTTCAGAGTGCTGGTGCCAGGGAGCAGTGACCCAGCCAGCAGGGGCCAGAGGGCCAAACAGGAGGGGGGATCAGAGAGCAAAGAGCAAGCATCAGTGGAAAGCAAACAGCGGGAGCCTGCCCGTTAGGAGCCAAGGTTTGTTCAGTCAACCCCTGTAGCTACTGAGGTAATAAGCCAGGCCCCCTGCCCAAGGGTACTTTTCCCACAGGCTTCCAGAGGAGCACCCTATGGGAAGACACTTTGCAACACACCCCATCAAGTCTGGAAATCTGGAAGCAACTAGGTAGAAATGTCCACATCCCACTAATGATTAAACAAAGGGTAGAGAGAACAAGAGCTTTCTTGGTTCCTTTCATAAAACTAGCATAGCACCTGGTACAGAGCAAGCACTCCATAAATATTTGTTAAATGAATATACCTTGTTAACTCGTCAGTCCTCATAACTGCCCCCTCAGAGACCACTAGGCTTTAACCTTCTCTTCTCTAGATAAAAGAACACACATTGCTTTTTAACTCTCTCTGCTTCTCAGTCTTAGATTCTTTCACATCTCTCTCTTCCCATCACCTTCTTCTTTTCCTACCTTTCCTTCCTCCCTTCCCTGCTCCATTATTCA